ATGTTGACAAGAGTTAAAGGGTATACTAGTAATTTAAGAAAAAAGTGTTATTATACCAGAATAATAGTTATTGTCTACAACAAAAACTCCAATGTATACTTAAAAGTAACACAAATATTAAAACCAACATGATAACAAGTACACCTAGTGTTAACCAAGAACTGTATCCTGTGGTAGAAAACCATGTAGAACTTCCACTGCATACTTTGTCTATTTTATCTAAAGGCCCAAAGGTGTGCTCATCAGAAGACACAAAACTTCAAATTATGTTTAATTTCCAAAAAAGTGTATTTACACACTTAGGTGATCTGCCATCATTGATTAAAGAAATCAAGAAAAAAAAACAGAAATACTAATCAAAATGAGAACACAACACAGATTATTGGGGCATTTTCTTCTACTGATATTTCAGAAAGTGAGAGCCAATTTGATTTCAAACATCTGTTTGATACCCTTAAAATACAGCCACCCAAAGTTTCTGAAGTGCTTGAAAGTTCTCTTGTTTGTATGAAATACTATTTAGTAAACATCACTACAAGAATGAAAAGTTTTGCTGAAAAACACAATATTACACCTCAGAAATGTAATTAGAGTGTTAAAGAAAACAAAGAATTTTTAATAAAAAACTTCAGACAAAGGAAAATGCTTAGTGTAAAAGACATCACCTGCCTAAACAGTTATAACTATTTTAAGCAACTCTAACACATACTTCTCATAAGAAATCTAACTTTTGACATTGAAAAGAAAATTAAACTTCTGTTTAAGAAACTTGTGCATAACAGCAACATATCCATGAAATTACTGAAACCACATTTTTATAGTTTACTGGAAGATCACAAGGAAGACATGCAATTGCAACCAATAAAATCCAACTGTGGATCAGAAAGTCTCTTTTTCTTGGTTAATCAATAAGATAATCCATTTGCTACAATTTTATGCTTCAGCTCATCTGAGTAGTATGAATAATTTTCTTTGCAAGCTGGAAGATGTAATAACACATCAAACTTATTTCTTTCCATGTCATGTGTAGTTTAGTTTCTCTCTACTTGTCTATACCCATTAATGAAGGTTTATCAGCAATAATGAATACATAAAAACACCAAAAAGACCTGAATCTTTTTTAGATGTTTCTCTGGAACTTTTAGAATGATGCCTTCACTACATCTTGATCAATAGTTGTTAAGTTTGATAAAAATAGTTCCAGCAGAAAAAAGGAGTTGATATTGGAATCAGAATTTTGGTAGTTTTCTCTATAATGTTTAAGCGCATATTAAAAAAAAAGATGCACCATTCATAGTTCCTAAAATGTAAAAAAACTGTGTTGTGGTTAAGATACTAGGTGATATTTTTGGTATTTGGTCTTCCACTTTACATGCACCGACAATATTTAACAGATATTTGAACAGCTTACACACAAATATAATTTTTACTCTACAATAGTTGACAGGAAGTGGCTAACTCAGTTTCCTAGGTGTTCTTGTTTATTTTCAAAGTAAACTTAAAACAAATGTATACAAAAAAACCCTCTTATGGACCAGTTTTCCGACACTTAGATTCACATCACACAACTAATGTGAAAAATGTAGCTATCACAGGACAAATCAAGAAAGGAAATCAACCAAGTTTGTAATTCTAAAGAAAGCAAGTTGAAGGGACTAACAGATATTGCTTGAATTGAATGGGTACTCAGATAGTTTTATCTCTGATTAATTCAAAAGTGCTTCATATAAAATCGAAAGGGGAACTTTTACTACTTGTAAACAGGATGATACATAACTTTGCAACTTGTACTATTCCAAACATTAGTGAAAGACTTAAAAGAGACTTAAATCAGTGATACAAAAGTCAGGGTTACCAATAATACTTGTACAAAAAACCAGGCAAAACCTTAAGACAAAAATTAATACATTCTGCAAACAATTCAAATAATGCTTGCAAGAAAAATAAATGCTTCACTAAAGATAGGAGTAGAAGATAGTGCATAATAGAAAAATCATACTTATAAAGTAACTTGTAGAATACCCAATGAAATTTACATTGGAGAAACTTCTTGTGTATTACATTAGAGCCATAAGTCAACTAAACAAAAGTGATAGCCCAATAGCGGATCACTTAGTAGTAAAATATGGTTGACTGGCATATGACTGCCCTTTACAAACAGAAAAGCTTGCTACACCTAACAGTTTTTATTGACTGTAAATATAAAGAAACTTTATTTGTGTTAAAATTTAAGCCACAAGTTAATTGTGATGTAGGATGGGCATTATGATCATAGATAATTTTTTCTTCTTTTAATTATAATTTATTTTACATATATTTATTCTTTTTCTCTTTTTATATCTACATCGAAATGACTTTCACTACAGTTTTAGCTGCACACCTACATTTGTGTTGTTAGAAATTCGTTTTGTAAGCAATACTATATATGTGACCTTGTTCTAAACTCTCCATTGGTCTATAAAACAAAACTTAAAAGTGTATAGTCTGTTACACATTGTGAGCTTTGCAGCATAAATAAAATGTTACTTTTGAAGAAGTTGTCAAAGTAAAACATTCAATGAAATAAATAAAAACGTGTTCTTGAGTTTAGTATTGGTTTTGTTAACACACAATATGTTTAAGGTATTCCAGATAGCACTTCATAGTATGACTGTACATATGAAACAGAGCTGAAAATCTGTGGGCTTTGTATATGTTTGTTGCTTATATCTAGTTCAAATAGTTTGAAAACAGTAGAGTTTTGAAATCTGTGTCACCAAAGTTCATCTAATTGTACTCTTTTGTTTTACAGTTAGCAAACGTTTATAGCTAACAAAATCATAAATAAATCACCTGAAAGCTGGGATTATTTGCTTTCTCAGAATCTATTTGCAATTGACCTCCCTTTAAGTTTTATAAAGGTTCTAAATTTCTAAACCTTTACTTATGTCAGAAGCCACTCTTTCATCACATGAATTCATATAATTCAGTTGCATCATGGTTCTATTTTTTGTATGTTATGTTAAAGTAATGAACTAACTTCAATGGTTTCCCTGCTTATTTACTTTGTTGAAACAAATGCTTTGGCAGTCATTTTAGAAAAACTCTTGCTGATGACTTGAAACTAAGGGACTTTTATGATGAGCTTTACACCAGCATATACTGAGAGATTGGCAAGGCTTTTTTCTTTTGAAACAAGCTTCATCAAAACTTTGTATTTTATCTGTTATTTTCTCTACCCTAACGCTATACAAGATTGGTCAATTTGACTGATCTCATAATTGAGAATATAGACTAATAACGTGTAAAAATTAACCAAGTTCCCTTAACTCTCAAAATTTTCCTGGCTTTCTAACTATGCGAGAAGAGCCATTACAAGTTCATCCAAGCTAGTCATTAACATTCACACGGGATGAATGTTGTAGTACGAATGAAATTGAAGATATTCTGTTCAAAATAAAACATTATACAATACATCATTTGATAGAAGCAAACCTTGACTTTCCATTGATCATAAGTAATATATAATTAAATGTAAGAGAGAACTATCAACAAATTGTGAAAGAGAGGATGTGACAGGTGGGTGTGGCAGGAGGGGTCTGATTTTCTATTTGATAGCTCTGTAACCAAACAAAATTGAAGACTACAAAAATTATGGTTTGTCTGAGCAATAACGATTTTATAGAGAGTAATTTACACTTAATTTTGTACTTTTTCAAGGGATGGTAGATAAAATATGAATGATGACATACTAAGAAAAAATGTGTCACGTGGGTCACACTAGTGGAAACTCGGGATTTTTTTAAATATTGCCTTGTACAATTAAGAACTTAAAACTTATATACTATAAAAATATGGATTATCAGCTAAGATTTTATTATATTCTAATTGGTATAACAGAAATAAAAAATGGCTTAATAAATTTTTGAATGTAAGACACTAAAACATTGTGTCATGCACAGTAAAGGGTACCTGGGGCAATAAGGTTAAAACCTCGAATTTCTATTGGTTATATATAATATAATATTAAATGTCAGAAAGAACTATTGGCAATTTCTGAAATATAATTGAAGGATATAAAAATTATGCTTTGCGAGAGCAATGACAACATTATGATGAGTAATTTAGATTAAATTTAGTACTTCTCGGAGAGTTGGTAAATAAATGAGAGAAGGTACACCAAGAGAGAGCAATTTTCATACTAGGTGAAATTCAGATTTTTTTTAATATTGCTTTATAAAAGTAAGAACTTTTATATAATATGGATTATTAGCCAAGTTTTCATGCCAAGGTTATTTGTATACCATGGTAAGAAAGTAGTGTGAATTAAATTTCGAATGTAACTCACTAAAACTTTGTGACATGTGCAGAAAATAAATAACCATAGCAAAAGTGTTAAAATAAGTAAGTACTAACTATGTATATTAGTTTTATGAATTCATATAAGATATTTTATTGAAAAACTGCTTTTAATAAAATGAATATAATACAAATTTAAGTTCAAAAATGTTCAACTGTTATCATATTTCACGTTTGAAGTGACTGTGTTTCACATAATATGAGATTTGGAAGCTAATAATTTTTATTAATAAAAATGCAAAAAATGGCAATATTTTGCCACAGGATTGACAGTGTTAAAGATTTTTTTAATTCTTCAGTTCTAAACCTTACCATCCAGCAATCCAAAAATGTTATAAATAATTATTTACATTTTCTGTTTGGTGTAAGAAACTCTATAATACATATCTTAAAAAACAACTAAGAATTCTTACCTTCACTTGGAACTGGTCGGGATCTGAGAGGAAGGGTAACTGACTGAGTGGTTTCAGGGCTTTCAGGTACATTAGTGACAGGAAGCTGTTGTCGTGTGCGGGCTGGGGAAGGAAAAGTAACAGCAGTTGTACCAGCAACTAAGTTTGGACCAGCTGTGGTACTAGTAGCAGGTGGTTTCTGGGACTTTCTAACTGGGGCTTGTTCAGCCTACATGAAAAAAAATTAAATTTAGCATCATTTAAAGCACGAGTAAAATAATTACATATCCCTCTCTCTCTACAGGTAGGTCAAAGTGCACGCCACAACCTTTTAGAGAGTTACATTCAAAATTTAATTAAACTAATTTATTATCAACATATATGAATAAACTTGGCATTAAAACATACATAATAAATCAAATTTTAATATGCAAGTTTTAATTTTTTAGTTTTTAAAAGGAAGTATAAATAAATAATCAATCTCCCCTTGTATGAGAATTGTGACATTTGTTCACTATGTTTTGACCATTCAATAATTTTTTCAACAACTCTCTATAATGTACTGAATTTAATTTAAATTACTCATTATAGTATAGATATTATTAAGGCAAAGTCTAATGTTCATAGCTTTCAATCTTCTTTGTTTATAGAAACATAAGCTGTAAAAAAAAAAGTCAGTCCTACTTGCAGCCCACTTCTCACATCCTCTCTTTCAATAATTGCCAATAATTCTCTCTGACATTTCTTTTGGGTCATTCATAAATACAGAATTGTAATTTTTGAATGGCATATAATGCTACATTGTTCTCAGTACAGTTTTATTTATGTCATCTAAGACTGAAATTTCTATTGCCCGGTTCAGATTGAGTAGCCAAGGGAATTATTTTAAAGCACTTATGCCTTAGTTAGAAAACCAGCTAAATTATAATAGTTATAGGACACTGTTTGCTTTGTGAATGTCATTATTCTATTTTATTATGTGCATTCTTCATATAAGTAAAAATTATTTGATTTTTAGTAGCATCTTCATCAAAAATAAAATTAGGCTTAAATTTCATCAGTGGGTCAACAGCAAAGAAACATGAAGCCCAAGATAAGTACTAAATTTCTTGTTTTCTATGTATATAATTTATTTTCTATTATAAAAGTAACTGAAATGTAAAACTTAAAAACTTATTAGGTTAGATAAGGTTGATTAGGTAATATAATGAAAAATAATAATAATAAAAACATTTTGTCAATGCTTGCAAGTAGCTTTTGCATGACATCATTCAATACTGTAACTTAAACTATGCATTCACTGAGTGATATATAGCTTGCATCTCAAGGTTATTAGTTAGAAGAGTTCAAAGGGAAATAAAACAATAAAATTAAATAGAAAGAGATGTAGAGTGTTATGAGCTCTATGCTATTTAGAATAAACAACTGTAGTTTTCTGTTATAATCTGCTACCATTCTCAAAATAAAAAAAAAAAGAGTAATTTTAGATTTATTTTGTAGTGGTTACAAGGTTGGTCAAATCAACCGAGTCCATATAGAAACAAGGTAAAGAAACTAACAGATAAATTATAAAGTTTTTACTGAAATAAAACCATTTGATATATATTTGGGAGGTTTTAGAGGATGTTCAAATTAAATTAGAAAGTTGTAAGATGAATAAAAGTATTTTTAATGTTAACATGAAAATCACCTTCAACTCAGACTAGTTAACACACTGATTCCATATATTAATGGACAAATCTTTAATAAAACCAATAAATTAAAAAAATCTGATTTTTTGCATACAAAAAATAATCAAATACAGTTACAAGAAATTTGAAGCTTGAACTCAAACTACTTACTGTTTACCTTTTCACTTTCTTTTGCACGTGTTCTCCATGATCCTCGCTTCTCTTGTGCTAAATTTGATGTAGTAGTTGTGGTACTAGTAGTAGAGGTTACTAATGTTGTTGCAGTTGGTTCTTTGGTCTGTTTGGTTTTCTGTTTCTTTTCATCCTCCTCTTGTTGTTTTCGAAGGAACTGTTGTTCTGCTGACTTCACCTCTTCTAATGTTACACCCTACAGAAATATATATATATATATGTAAATAAAACAACTATTTCATACAAACATTTAGTTATCTCATCTAAAGGTAGTAATTATTTAATTTTATTGGTTTCTCTAAATTTAGATAGTGCATCATTCTTTTGGTTCTATTTTGAGAATAATAATTTGAAAACACTCACATGCAATATACAATTACATACTGTACTCCACATTAATAGTTAAAACTACACTTACTATTTTTACTGAGATTTCTAACTACTACATCTATACACAAGCAAATGGACTGAAAAAAAAAGAATAATGAAAACCCTGATGTACCGTAGTGGAACGTCGTGTTTCTCTCACTCGTTTGGCATGGGCTTTTCTTCTCGTTTCTGACTCTTCATCTCGTACTGGAAGCACAGATGACCTACACAATATCCAACATATTATAAATATATTTCTCTTTTTTTTAATTTATTGACATTCATCTCTTAGTCTTAGTTAAAACAAAAATTTGTAACTTAATTAAATTCCAGGTTTTTAAATATAAATAGAGTTGAAAGATTGAAAAACTAATCTGAGCAGTAGGTTATTATGAGTTAATTGTAAATACAAAAACATCATGTGCAAGTTAATTATGCCTTTCAAAATAGTGAAGTTGGGGGTAGTCAAGGGTAGTGAAGTAGCCTCAAGATAGTTTTGAAATACTTTCTAAACCCTTAGAGGATTGAATTTTTTATATATATAGTTTCTGATAATGTCCTTAGACTTCTGGTAGTTTTTTGCTATATTATGTCTAAAAACTATAGAAATATTCTTCAGTTACAACACATGCTACCACACCACACTGCAAGGTAAGTGCCATTTGTTCAATAATAAATATTTGTCAGTTATACCATGCTTGTATGATTTACAGTGGGAAACTGACAACTTCAATTGGCAAAATAAAGCATCAATTAAAGTATAGTAATGAATAAAAAATACGAATAATAAAACTGGTTAGATATATAAAATCTGATCAAAACTAAGAAAAGATAGAAGGACTAAGATGTTTTTCTTTTAAAAGTGTTTCACAATAAAATTTTGGACATTTTACAACCAAAACAATTATGCAAATACTATATGAAATTTTATGAATTGTTTCACACAGAAATTAAATACTACATAGAATATTTTTACCGAGCAGTTTGATCGAATGCTTTAAGTGTGAGAACAGAAAAAGAACTGGGAATATAGTGATACCCCTTCAGTCTGGAAAAAGTAAAGCTTAAGAACTATCATTCATATAAACGAAAAATCTAAAATTTTGAAATGTTTCTATATATCTTTAACAACTGAATATTTTTCAATAAATTTAGTTAAAGATAATTATTTTATCAGCAACCTAGCCATTTCACAAAGTTAGTCAATGAACAAAGTATCAAGTGTAGAAATTGTCCTGAAAGTTAAATTTTCATCCTCATTTGTTTTGACATTTCCGACTCTGCACAATGGGACTAAAATGAGTTGATATTAATTTTATTACTGAGAATTATGGCCATCAAATATCTAAAACCTAGATTAACACATTTTTAAATATTCGTGAACAACTGTTTATCCATATTTTACACACAGTTGTTTTTTGTACAATAATATTCCAATGAGCATACTAAACAAAATACTAAAGAAATGTCTCTATAAGGAAAACACATTCCACAATAATGAAAACTGACTTAATTTCTGGTAATTTGAGTTGTTAAAAAAAAAAATAACTTACCAGCAAGCAATAGAGTTTTAACCCTTTAGCTCAGATGATAAATCACTTGCTTGGGATGCAACAGGTCCCAAGTTTGAATCCAAGCAAAGGAAATAACAAATAAAATTTAAATTGCCACAAAAACAACTGCCAACCAATATGGGGCCATCCTAAGATAAGGCCCAAGGACAGACATTGTTTATGAGGAGAAGGATATAGTAGTTTGAGTTTTTAAAGAAAATAAAAGTGTCTTACTGGCAAGCACTAGAGGGTTAGCCATTTAGCTCACTTGGCCCACAAGATGTCTCAGGATTGAATTTGAGATAAGAGAATACAAAATAACATTTAAGTTATTACAAGTTCATGACTATTATTAAAGAACTTAAGTAAACATAACTATGAATCAGGATTTTAACTACTTATACCTGGATATTTTAGAAATAAACTATATGGGTGACACATATGCATGCAAGCTTGCACATTTTCAGCTTACAACAAACAAATATGCTAAAAACAGCATGTTCTCAAGTGCTGCATGCACCTACCTTCTGACTTGCCCCTCTATTGGAGGTGTAGTAACACCAATAGGTGGGGTGCTTGGAGTTGATGTTGGTGAAGATAGAGTGGTAACATTAGTCGTTGAAGGCAGAACTGAGGGGATTTCTTCTGTACTAGATTCCCTGTTTTATGAACTTAATGCATTAAAACTTTAAAAAAGTATATTTAAATTTTCATGTAACTTTTCTAAGACAAAAACATGGATTCAAACAAATCAATTATAGCTGTACAATTAGTACACAAGTGTACATGGAACAGTGAATTACTTATCTAATCTTTATCATTTCTGATATGTAATGTAAAAGCATATTTTGGCTAAAAATATAATTATAGTTTCCTTTTAACATGTACTTACTTCAAACACAGCTTTTATCATGATTTTTTATTTGTTAAATACACCCTTTTCCAATGTAGATATCCATTTCACTACAAATAAATTGTGCAAGTTTAATGTTTCAGCTTTCTAGAGATCTATCTTTTATTAGTTTAAAAATCTTCCATAATAAGTAAAATTTTAAAGGCTGCTCAAAATGATAAACTACATTGAAGTTACAAGTACTTGTTTCAAATCTAGCAATTTGAAGAAAGGATTACTTGTACTTGATGGTCAATAAGCAGACAAAAAGAAAATAAGTTTTAACACACATTCTTTTCCTCACTTAATAAAAGATTTTTAATTCAACAATAGTTTTTATTATTTTGATGTTTTTGATGTGATAATCAAACAAACACATATTCTATAATTTTTGGATTTCTTACCGTTCTTTAGTTGCGCTTTCAAATGATGGCCCATTAGTCTTTTTATCCTGGAATGAAAGACTTTTTTATTTAAATGGCAGATATAAAGATAATAAAAACTAGTCCCTGTAGTTATTTTACATGTTTCAACTATTACAATGATAAAACAAATTTTTCTATTTAAGAAACTCCTCCAAGCCTTCTGTGATAAAAATGGTAGATTTCGCTGAACTTACTTATATAAAACAAAACAAACATGACATCAGAAAACTATAAGACTAATAATAATGGTGATAATATGTATATACATATATTTATAAAAGGTGACAAATTTTTCCCAACTGGAAGAAACTTAATATCAGCCATACTGCTCTGAACAGATATACAACTGACTATTACTTCATCTATTGTTCTGGATTTTTTTGGTTTTCTAAGGACCAGGATGGGCTCTTCTTTTACAATGTCTTGTGAACTTTTTAATGGAGCTGTTGGTTCATTTCTTCTTCTCCAAGGAGCCACATCATTTTGTCGTTCCTTATTAGTAGCGGGTTTTCGTACTGGAAGCTAAAAATTAATTTTTTTTCACTTTTCATTATTGCAGCTATTATTTGATTTCCTAGGTCTAAATTTTTTCATTATAATGAATCATTGAAATACTTAAATTAAACTACAGTTTCAAATATATAATCATTATGCTCTTTAAGTGAGTTTTTTGTTTGCTTTTTATGAATAACAGCCTTGTTTTGATTAATATTATGCAAACACATATTTTCTCTACATTGAATACTGTATTTTATTATAACAATTTTTCCTTTTCTGTATATAACTAGTCTCTTAAGAAAATATTTAAAAAATTAAAATTTTACATATTTTGAATTAATTCAAGCAATGATAATTAATTAAAAATAAATCAACACATTTTACTTTTGTTTGTATTAGTTTTAAGTGTTTCAAGATGTAAATATATAACTCTGCACTTACCTCCTCCTCTTTGGTTATGTCTGTTGAAGGGATGATCTCTGATAGACTATCTGCAATGTTGGCTTCATTTCTTTTTACTGGATAAAAAATAATTACACGAAAATCAGAATAGAAAACAAACTAATCAAGTTAATACCTTAAACAACTTAACTTTTTTTAGCCTGGTATCTTTTATCTTTTAAGAAGGCAAATAACATCAAATAAAAAAATCTGTCTGAGCTTTCCTCAAACCATCTGCTAAATAAAATTATAACTAAAACGTCCAGCTTTAGAATTTTTGTTTTTGATAAAGTAATAACAAAATTACAAACTGTTAGTACTACTTCTGAAGTATGCGAAATGAACTAGTGATAAGATGAAGAGAAGGAGGGTATTTATTTTTATTAGTCAGTATTCTTTCTCATTTACTGTTGGTGTGGCATTCTTACAAGAAAAAAAATATATTTACACCAAAAAGGTAGTACATAACTGTCTTAGCTAAGTAGACGCAGAGTGAAATCACTGCTTCATGCTGCTGGTATTAGGATTAGTATATACAGCAAAATTTTCGAGGGATAAAGGAAAAATACAATGGCTGTTGTGCTAAGTAAAGCAATAATTAATAAGCATGCCAAGTGCAGTAGAAATGCTTGAGTGAGTGGTTGCACGTAAGCATCTGGTGAGCAAGTTAGGGCAAATTACAGGTTACTTTGAAAGCATTTTAAAGCAGATTTTACATTTTTGACAATCAAACTTTGCAAAAAAGTGCACATTGAGCTTTCATCTTCACATTCACACCACTAAAAAACACTTGCACTAATTTTGTTTTATTGCTGGAAAAATAGTGAAGTCCTGAAAATTTCAATATTTTCTGGACAACTTCACATGGTGCTAAAATAAAGAATTAGATAAAGATGGTGAATGAAATTTTTCAGACTGGTTCTAGAGGAGTATAATTTTCATGATAAAAGAACACAATTGCCATTTTCAATACTGAAGAAAAAGAAGCATGCATATGTTATGCAGGATGAGCAACCTATGTAATTTGAAAGATTACAGTATTTTTGTTTCTGCTTTTCCTTTTTTTATTTTAGTTACACTAACACTTTGTTTGGTAAATAGATGAATAGGATATACTGAGATAAATACTCTCTATTTATAATATTTTTAACAGTATTCAATACATTTTATTGCAAAATTTCTTTTAATACAGCAGGCTTGCACATGACATCATGAGGCCTGTGATTTTAATTTTCTAATTAGCATATGCAAAACCTGGCTTTCAGATCAACAGCTTATTTATCTCAGAAATGTTACATAAAGCTACATGAAGGGCTATCTACATATGGCCATCCTTAATTTTCAACTGATAGACTAGAGGGAAAAACATTAGTTTAGGTGCTCTAACCTGACATAATAATGGGATTTCATCATTACTCTTACAATGCACTCACTGTCACAAAGTGCAGAGCAAATATTTGCAGCAATTGGCTGTGACTCACAAATTTTGAGGTTCACAGTCTAAGAATTCTAAACATTATGCCAAACATCTCGTGGTTTAACCTTTTGGGCATGTTGCATAATGGCATGGTATACAATAATATTATTTCGTAGTTTTTATTTTATTATAAATTGTAAATTTACCAAAACAATCTAAATGAGGTTCTAAAACATTCAATGGTTATCATGCATTATATCTGAGGTGTCTATGTTTCAGTTTTCATTCCTAAGTTATTAATTTTTATGATTGCAGAAGCAGAAGTGGTCATTTAAATAAAAAAATTATTATAAAATTTTAAGTAACACCATCTTTTAGATTTTAATTATGTTTATTTCAGCTTGTGATTTCAAAATTTTACCTTTGTTACAGTCATCTAATTTTCAGACACACTACAGAAATTACACTTTCTCTTTAGAAAGAGAAAGATGAAATAGTCTGAAAACAAAGAAAAAAAATAAAGCCATGTTTTCTAATTTTTAGAGTACTTACACAATCCTTGAGCACAATAAACAGAACAAGAAGTTAAAAAGGCACAAAATATGTGATGTAACTTCAGATTAACCATATTGCAACAGGCTCATGCACTTTACACGACCTTGTAATCATGGTGCTATACATACTAACTCTGTAAGTACTTAATGTATATTCCCAAAATTTGGCAAGCTTTCATTTAACATTATGCCTTTTGTAGACAAAAAAATCAACATTTTTAATTATTTGTACTAAAACTTTGTCTGTAATCACATGGAATCAAAGTGTTGACTGCTCCAAGTGCAAAGTGATTTTCATGTTAAAATTAAAAATTTTCCAATTCCATTTGCATAGTCCCTAAAACCTCCTAAATAAATATCATACCTTTTCTTTTCAGAAAATATTTATATTTTATGTATTATTTTGTATACTATAACTCTACATGAGGTCGGTCAATTTGACCAACCTTGTAACCACCGTAAAAAAATTAGGAAATAAATCTAAATTATCCTTTTCTCTTTGAACTGTGTCTAACTAATAATCCTGTCACACAAGTTGTAAATTACTTGGTGAATGTGCAGTTCATATTACCTTATCAATTACGAAATGCGCGAGCTGCAATCAAGCATACCCTGTGAAGATTTTTTCTCTATCTTACCTAATCTAACAAGTTTCTAATCTTAAATTTTAGATACTTTTATAATAATAATTAAAGAATACACATGAACAACAAGAAATATAGTACTTACCTGAGTCTTCTTTATTCTTTGCTGTTGATTGTAGATGAAATTTAAGCCTACTTTTTTTTTTTTATACTAATGGTACTACTACTCTAAAAATATTTTTATTTAAATAATTAATGCATACAAGAACACAAAAAAAACACAGAAAAAGTAGAAAATGTCCTACAACAATCTGGCTTTCTAATTATAAGATAAGAACTGTTAAAAATTCAGTTAAGCTCATCAAGGTGTTTCCCTTTGGGAATAAAGTTTGAACTGGAAGCAAAATAGACAATTCTATATAAAGAAAACAACATGATATAATATGTCATTTAATAGATTAAAACTTTGGCTTTCTATTGGTTATAAATAATACAGTATTAAACATCAGAAAAAAAATATGTGCAATTTGTGAAAGAGGATGTCACATGGCAAGTGGGTCTGAATTTCTAGTTTATGGCTCTATAAAAAAATAAGATTGAAGGCTATAAAAATTTTGCTTTGCCTCAATAATAACTAAATTATAATGAGTAATTTGCATTAAAGTCTGTACTTCTGGGAAAGGTGGTAAATAAATTAGAGAAGAGAGGAGACTTAGAGAGCAAACGTCACAATTCTCATAATAGAGGAGATTGAGGATTTTTTAAAATATATCCTTATAGAAATAAGAATGTAAACTTATATAATATCAAAATTTGATTTATTAACTATGTTTCAATGCCAAGTTTATTTCTATACATTGATAATAAAGAACTTTAATTAAATTTTGAATGTAACTTTGTATAAAACTTGTAACATGCACAGAAAGGGGTACCTATAGGGAAAGAATTAAAGATCATTATGTAACATGTAAGATAACCTAAAATACAAAACCTTAAAGCATGAAAAACTATGCTAAATAGCGTGATTTGGTCATTTTTGTAGGCTGAAAATAAAATAAAAAACACATACCAACATTCAAAGCTTCTTTCTGCTTTGTCTCAAAAGTAGTTTCTTCACCAGCTTCATTTACTGTGCCTTTATTATCTGTCATGCATATAAGAGTAATTCATTATCATTATTTCAATGAGTGGTGTTTAGAAAAGATATTTCTATAATTCTTGGCCTTTTTTACTTAATAAACTGTATGAATGCCATTTTAAAATCCTCTTAAACAATGTATGTGATACACTAAAAACATTTAAAATCAGTACACTTTCAGAATAATAAAACATGTGACAAATATTAGGTACTAAATGAAACTATACACTCAATACTTGTAATTCATCCCTTTTGTAAAATGTTTTATAATATGTTATACAAGTCAACGTGAAAGAACATTCTGCAATTTATTTCTCAGAAAAACAGTATTTCATTGTAAAACACAAACTATGAGGTAGGCTAAATAACTAAAGTTAAAACATTTGACGAGCTGTGAAAGTCAACATCTCTAAATTAAATCCCACATTCTTTAAGGTATGTTCAATCTTCAAAGTCTGTTATTTAAACTTATAAAATATATTATTTTGATATATTTGTTTTGAGATAGATATTCCAGACTTGACCAATAGATTTCTAAACTTATGATAAAAATCTATTTTAGCAACTACATGTTAAGATCAACATTGTGAACAAAACATGTATCTACAGCAACGGATTACCTTCTTTAGTTATTCAACAAAACTTTCAGAAACACATTTACTTTTATATTTTTGTATTGAAAATGGCCTTTCTAGGCTTATCAACCACATTACCTCTATGGCTATAATAATTTTAATAGTACTGTGAAAAACATATTTTCTAAAAAGGTTAAAACTAATCTCAGATATAAAAACTTAAAAGTTTCGTCAGTAAGTATACAACTCTGAGGACTCATGCAATTAGGGTTGAATTTGGTCACACAGAATAACGGGTTCTTATTTTCTTAAAAAAATGTTTTCATATTAGAACCGGGCTCAATGCTACATTTTATAAATGTGGTCCAAGTATAAAATGTTGACATGATCAACCATTCATACTTTAAGGTCTGAAAATTCTTCCTAAAAACTAAAACATTTTACTATGTGAATATACAATTGTAGGAATCATTCAGACTTAAATTATAATGTAGTTTCTCTACACTAAATGAAATCTTTATTATTTATATCTAGAATTACAAAAACACTAATCATTCCAAGCAAGGTTATATTATTCTGTTTTGTTTCTACATTTGTATAATTACTGAAACAAAATACTAAAATTAATGCAAGATACATCAAAAATGAAGATGCAGATGAACAGTTTTCATTATCTACAGATATGATATGTAAAGGTGGGAGTGGATCCTCAAGTAAATGTGGAAACAAACATTACTACGTTTACATTAAGTTTATAAACTGCAATAATAAGTTTTAACACACTATATAAGAACGATCATTAGTATGATAAAATTAAGCATTTCATACTTTCTTTTCTTCTGTACAAAAAAACTTTCATAGTATCCAAAAAAAATGATCCATGATTTCTATTTCTAAACCTAGTTTTACACAGCTTTGTAAAATTTTACATACATCTGATTATCTTGACAACATTATGATTAACAATTCACAGTACTAAAAGAAACTTGTCATGAACATACTTTTTTGTGGAAGCTCATACTGCAATCCTTCAATTTATAGAAAAGTCAAGTGAAAGCATTTTGCTTTTATGATGACAATTTATCTAAAATATTTTCTCCATAAAGAAAAATTATCATTTAATATGAAATTAAGAACTAAACATAAAAAAAATATATTTAAACATAAGAAATGCAGTTTTTTTTATGATGCACAATCTATGCCATTGTTATTCTTTATGAGCCAAGAAGCAGTCTTCTATTCCACACTAAACATTTAATATTTACAGGAGATTCTACAATTTAAAGGTAATATTCCTATTATGCACTAAACTAGCTCAGTATGTTTCAACTACATGTTTTACAACTAGCTACTAGTTCTGAACACACAATGTAGCTTGAGTTATTCTCATCAAGATTTTTCATAGTATGTTATATTCTTATATTATTTTCTGTTACCAGATAACAAATTTATGGTAGTTTAAAATTTTAGTAGTTAGTTATTTCAATTCTCAAAAATTAAACATTCTATTATGATTTTACTCACTTAAAATAATTAAAGTGCATTCAATTATAATTTTTTGTCGAAGAACTGAAACTAGAAACTTTGTTAATGGTGATGTTTGTTTATGAATTATACAAGTCCCTATATGTTCATTCAAATTTGTAACTAACAAACACTAAAGGCTAAAATTATGTAATGTAAATAGAATATTTAAAAAATAAATTCTACTGAAGGTTTTGCTGCATATTGAGCACAAATGTTGGTTAGATACATCCAATTTAAATCCAAATTACTGGAATTTTTTTACGCACTATATATATATATATAATATACTTAGCACTAAGAGGCTATTTTTGTTTCATGACTAACAAGAAGAGAATAAGAGTTAAAAAATTATTAAAGAAAAAAACATATATTGCTGATACTCACAGAAATTAATTTCAACATTTTATCAAAAAAATAAACACATATCCTCCAGTTGAGTAACATTAGTTGAGAATATTATTAATCTGTGACCCTTTGCTTACTGTTTCACTAAAATGCTAATAAATAATGAATTTAGCTCAAGAAACACAGAAACAATTTGCTAAACAGCTCATACTTAAACTGGTTCAACTGCAGAATGTTCTTTTACTAGTTTCTAATAACACCATTTTCCAATGTGAGAAAGGTGGTTTAAATACAATTAGTTTACAGAAAACAATCAAATATATTAAGTGATTACATGACTTCACTGTAGATTAGTAACTGCTATTTGCCACAAGAAAGAGAAAAGTAAACTTAGGCCTTGTGACAAATGTGGCTTTAACAGATGTTTAGATGGGCAAAGTTGAAACCCTGGCTTTCGAGTAATAGCTATAAATGTCAGCGGAGATGAGTATGTTTTGGAAAAAAAGGTTTAGTTTTGTTGGTTGTATGTTCACAAGAATATGAAGTGAAGTAGTTCCATAGATGAAGCAATTGTAGGTGAAGATAAATGTGTGTGTGTCTATATATTTATTTATTTATTTATTTATTAAGGATAAGAAAGCATTAATGGAAAAAATACATAACTTAATTGTTTTATTGTTTATTTGTAATTAAGCACAAAGCTACACAATGGGCTATCTTGGCTCTGCCCACCACGGGTATCAAAACCCGGATTCTAGTGTTGTAAGTCTGCAGACATACCGCTTTGCCACTGGAGGGTGCATAACATGAACTCTTTAGTAAAAAGTATTTTAATACGCACTCCAACAATATTTATAAGATTGTATCATCCCATCAACTGTTTAATGCATGTGCCTTATAAGTAGTGAGTTTTAGCTACACCGAACAAATAGCAAGGTTCTAGAACATGTAATGTCATAAAACAGCATTGCACTATAACAGTCCAGATTAAGAAGAAAAGTTCAAAATTATTACAAAGAAATTTCTAATTCCTGGTCTATGGATAAATTACTTAAGCTATTTTCTTTTCTGTTATATACTGTTTTGATTTTGACTGTTCAAAATGTGATAGTAGAATAAAATTTCATTAAGAAGTTAAAATACCAGCCAAGCATGTGCTTAGTTTAACTGTTTGTTTTTGTTTTTTGAATTTCGCGCAAAGCTACACGAGGGCTATCTGTGCTAGCCGTCCCTAATTTAGCAGTGTAAGACTAGAGGGAAGGCAGCTAGTCATCACCACCCACCGCCAACTCTTGGGCTACTCTTTTACCAACGAATAGTGGGATTGACCGTCACAATATAATGCCCCCACAGCTGAAAGGGCGAGCATGTTTAGTGTGACGGGGATTCGAACCCGCGACCCTCAGATTGCGAGTCGAGTGCCTTAACCACCTGGCCATGCCGGGCCTAGTTTAACTGAGTATACTCCTGCTATATTGGAGATTTAAATTGAACCAGTTAAAAATGAAACATTAAAAATTACTTTAAGTTTGTCTGTGATAATAATACTTTCCTAGCTAATAGACTATGTGCTTTGAAAGTACACATCTTCTAGTTAAAAAGTCTTTATTTCAATCCATAAGCAAAGATGTCAATTTTTTTCTTGGTGAGCCCACACTATTTACAGTAGTTTTTCTTTGACTTCCATAACTGTTAAAATTTAACTAATATTTCAAGTCATGTCTCTCAATAAAAGAAGAAACTATACTTGTGATTACAACAAGTTGGTATCAACTAGATCAGTGGTTTCTAAACATTTTTAACTGACAACACCCTAGCCCACCTACCTTCATTCACACAAAACCCCACTGACACGTGCCAAACTGTGTGTCACAACACACTAATGTGTTGCAGAAAGTTGCTAGGGGTGTCATGAGAGTTTCACCAAACGAAGAGTAATTATGAACATAAAAAAGCTCTACAAAATTAATATTGTGAAACTCTCATGACACCCCTAGCAACTTTCTGCAACACATTAGTGTGTTGTGACACACAGTTTGGTGAAACTCTCATGACACCCCTAGCAACTTTCTGCAACACATTAGTGTGTTGTGACACACAGTTTGGAAACCACTGAACTAAATAAAACAAATGAGAGATGATTTGTTTTACACATAGTAATAATAGTTAAAAAAAAAAGAGAAATTATGTTACCTTCTTCCAGTTCTTCTTCAGGTAATCGCAGCTTAGCTTCAATCTGTGCTCGTTCAGCATACGTGTCTTTCATGACAACATTACTCTTATCTGTACAACTCATTCGAGTTACTGAGGTTCTTCGTTTCAGAGGTGGTGGGGCTTTTCTTCTTAATATCTCTCCTAATTCTGGACGTTCCTTTTGAAGCTGATGGTTAAATTATATAACACAGATTCTTGAATAAATGAATAACTAAACCACAATACACCAAGATTAGATCAAAAACAGCTCATTATACATCTCACAGTGAAGTAATACTCATTTTCAACCTCAAAGCATCTTCAAAATGCATGGGATTATTTAAAAAGATCAACTTTCATTAATATTTTTATGAATCATTTTCAGATACCCAAACCAATGTGTGAATATATATATATATTATTTATTTGCATGTACATATACATAATTTTGCAATTAAATCTAATTCAAAACTCACCAAGATAATAATGAAATCCAAAAAGAAAAAACAACTTCAGGGGGAATTTACTTACAGTGTTCTGTTTATTCTTTAAGTCCTGTAACAAATTGACCAAGTCAGGATCAGCTACATCAAAACATGTCTGTCCCTGAAAAAACATTAAGTTAATATAACATAGTATGTAGTGCAAAAAATAAATAAATAAATCACATTGTGTTATGTTATCAAGGATGGGATAAGATACAGTGTTAAGAGCAGAGCAGATTCTATTTTCTTTTTCCTTTATTGTTCTCTAACAGTGACTAAGTGAATTATAAAAGTTATATCAAACATCGTGCAACTAGGCAAAGTAACTTTAAACTTTGCCTTCAAAGTTCTGACTTGGCTTTTTGAAAAAGGTTTACATTAAAAAAAATACAATCATCATTATTTAATGCTTCAAATTGCAGATTAAGGGAAGTTCAAAATTATTACAAACTAATTTCTAATTGCTGGTCTATGAATAAACTCCTTATGCTATTTTTTCTATGATAAATAAACAACATTTCCTTCATTAAATAGTGCTTTCATGTTGTAAATGCATTTGATACAGAAATGTGAAGTCATCTTGTTGGCACCTTGAGGGATAAGTGACTTTTTCCCATTTGGGAGTCAGGCCTGACCCCTGGTGGATGTAGTTTAATACATTTTTCACAATTAAGTTTACAGAGATGTGCACATAAATATTTAACTGTACTAACAGTATTTTTAACTAATTTCTAATATTATATGAAATAAAAATTGATGATGGTGTTACCTAATTGATCTGTATAGATTGATGAAAATTTCATAGGTTGCACAACAGTAAACAAAACTTAGCACGAAGACTGGATCACTAAATCTACTGATCCTAACATACTGACTTGTCATAAGGTGGAATTATATTGGGCTAATAGGAATGATGTTAAACCTAGTTGCAAGAATTAATAAATAGAATAAAATGAATAGAGGAAAAATTTATTTTCACATTACATTCCTATTTTTTCTTAGTAAGGCATGTTTGTGTTTTTCCAAGTAAAGCCACATCAGGCCATCTGCTGTGTCCACCAAGGGAAATCGAATCCCTGATTTTAGAATTGTAAATTCATAGACCTACTGCTGTCCCAGTGGGAGACTCATTATTTTCATATTTACAGACTACTAGTTTGATAACCATGTAATATCTAAAAGCAAATCAACATTTAATGTATTTTTCTAGCTATCGTTTAAAATAACTGATCTGAATTAGATTCACTAAAGTACTATGGAAGCTTTCCAATGGTTAGTAAAAGCCATTTGTTTTGGACACAATCATGCATAGTTACATAAAAGCAAGTAATGCTTAAGCCATCCAGTGGAAATTACATGCTAACTAAAAACAAATGTAAATATAACTTTGTCTATTAACTATACATTACACTTTACCAAAAAACTCACAACAAAGTTCTGGATATCCATGTTTGCTAGATTATCAGCTAAAAGTTCACAAGCTTCTCTCTGGCCCCAGTGTGCAGCAGCATGAAGAGCAGTCCACCCATCATTATCTTGTGCATTTAGTTCTAAACCAGCTTTGATCAACATACTAAAGGCAATAATAATAAATGTCAAAATATCGAAAACATACAGCTTTTACTAAAACAATATGAATGTAGAAAACTTTTTACAATTTGGAAATAGCATACAATTGTTTATATTTACTATATTTAAATATTTATCTTGGTTATGCTTAGAATCAAACTTTTTATTCTCTCTCTCTCTCCATGTTTATCAATTGTTTTTTATTAATTACAAAAATTATTATTTACTTGGTATATGTGTTTAGGAATAATTTAATTCTCCTAAGTTAAGGAAACTTCTTGAGATATTATTGTGATTATGACTGAAAATATAGTTAACAGCAGTGATATAAAAATTATGATTCCATGTATTGTAATCAGTATGAAACTCAATTTTCTGGTATATTAATTTATGATAAAATGTATTTCTAGTAATTTGTTATATAGAGTTAGCTTCATTAATTCAAGTTATTTGACAGTTTTGGAACACACACTTAGCTTACTCTTGAAAAAGCAATTTACATTAATTAATATATTGTATATCTAATGTTACTTTTTTGGCTAAAATGTCTCTCACTGGAGCATAGGCAAAGCCAAATGATGCAGAGAGATAACTACCACTCTTGGAGAATAAGAAGAAATGTTTTATTCATAATTGACCTTCAAAAATTGCAATGTGAAATGCAAAGAGACTACATGGTAAGATGCAGCCTTGCTCACCTTCTCTGGTAAGATATGGAAAAAGTCTTTATATGCTATGGCAGCCAAAACACTACACATTGTTGGCTCCACAATAAATCATCAAGCAGTCAAAACTATTTGACGAGACACTCAACAGACAAATCTTTCACAAAAATGTAACGTGAACATTATGAATGTGTAATGAAGCTAAAATCTTACAAGTGGTTAATATTGCCGGATGCAAAAATCCATAACCTCCAGTAGGGCCAGTCTAATATACCATAAAAGAAACCAGCTTTTAAGAAATATAATAATGAAGGGATTGAGAAACAACCAAAGGAGACAAATGGAAAACTTCCACAGATGATAAGTCATGAAAAAAAATACTGTGACACAACTGTGCATGGGGATTTCTGACAGACCTTCACTGGTATATCAGCCAAACACATAGATAAATGACACGATTTATAAAAAGAAAACAGGGAACCCCAGTTTAAACATTTGTTCAGAATAGCACAAAAACAAGAGGTGAAAAGATTGGCCCAATCTGTAAGAAAATGAACAAACAACCCCTGTACCATCTATTTCTTCATACAAAAGTAACTCATGCACATAACAAAGCAGCAAAAGGAGCCTTCACAATGCATAAAAGTTAAACTAGATCTGAATAATCATCAAACGATAAATGAAATAAAATGTTGGAGAAAACTAACACTGATCCACTGACTGACAACTATCTTCATCCAAAAAAATGCATGTTTGGCTAAGAGTACAGTGGCATACTGATAATAAATTCCACCCAACATCAGTCAAAACAAATATATAATGTCAATAGCAGAATCCAATAGCAGTAAGGAGTAGGTCTTCTAGGTTAAAAAAATAGAAATCAATAGAATCAAGATATAAAAAAAGCTTTACAACTAAAATAACAGGGTGACAAAAGAAGACCAGCCTTCCATGGAATGATAAAATATGACTTATATAGTGGTATTAAAGAACATTTCACTGAGCTGTACCATATTTCCTAAGAAGCCAACCTAGGAGAAAGTAAAGTTGAATAAATACTTAATCAAGATGCTGAATAAAAATTAGCAAAAACAGTTGCAGTAAAGATTTGGTTTGGCTTGTTCTAAATTTTGTGAAAAGCTACACGAATGCTATCTGCGCTAGCCATCCATAATTTAACAGTGAAAGACTAGAGGAAAGGCAGCTAGTCATCACCACCCACTGCCAACTCTTGGACTACTCTTTCTCCAAAAAATAGTGGGATTGACCATCACATTATAATGCCCCCACGGCTGAAAGGATGAGCATGTTTTGTAGGACAGGGATTTGAACCCGTGACTCTCAGATTACGAGTCAAGCCCCCTAACCACCTGGCAATGCTGAGCTGTCATGGTAAAGAAGATCACACCAACAGAAAACCAGTACTGAGCCAGAGTTGGTCAATACAGTGTTCATAAGTAGTTATGGAGAAATTAGGTAATTAATTGATACAATGAATTACCTAAATAACCACCTAACTTAAATTACAGTTTCAGGTTATTTATTCTTTCAATTATTTCAACTATCCAAGTAATTGAAACATTACCATTATATTTGTTTATTTTTAAGCACAAAGCTACATAATAGTGTGTGTGAGAGGGTGGGTGGAGGGGGAACCTTGTGGTTTGAGAGTCTTGGTTTTAACATTCATTTTACCATTAAACCTGCTTGCTCCATTTTTGTTGCTGCAAAGTTACTAAGGTTCTATGCTACTGTTACAAATTTTGAGCTGCTGGCTGGGGGAAAGGCAGCACCCACCACCAACTCTCTGGCTACTTAAGTGTTAAATAAAGTGCAAGTTTACTGTTTTTTATATTATGTCATGGTTCTAAGTTATAATTGGATAACTGTATTCTTTAATGTTAAACAAGCAAGCATGGATCTATTTTTTCAGGAAATAATACTTGTACTATATAATGTTAAATAAGCAGGCATATAAATCAGGCGGATTGGGGTCCAGACCCCCATTTTTTTCAAGAAGTAATAACTATATTATTTAATGTTGTATAAGCAGGCATGGATCTAGGGGAGAGATCCAAGGGTCAAACCCCTTCTATCCATTTTTTTAAAGAAATTAATAACTGTATTATTTAATGTTGTACAAATAAGCACAGATCTAGTTTTATTCATATTCATTCCCTAATGGTTTTTAAACTTTTTAAGATAATTTTATAGCTATCAAAAGTTTTATGTTACAAGATAAATTGATGTTATTTTTATGTTGTTTGACTTTAAATTTTGGCTATTTAAAAAGATTAAAAAATACTAAGTTTTTACTTTGGTTAAGTACTTGTTCACCTAATAGGTAAAATAACTTAATCATTTGAGTAACTATGTAGTTATAGATACAATGCTTAAGGCCCCAATAGTGTCATAAACACGCTTATAAATGTGTAAAACAAAGCTGAATTGTCTGGAATAACAAGTCTGGAAAAGTGTACACAGTATTGTTACAACAGGTAACTGATAATTGAATAAATGTTTATTACTTTGAAATGTTAAACAATGCAGTTGCATTGCCTATATAATACATTTTCATGTAAAAAGGTTGGGATTAAGGAAGTAAATTAATTCTAAATAATTGTGCCTAAGTCTGAAAACAGGGTTTCCTCTAGCTTTTAATTTTCTTTGTCACTTGATAAAATTTTTTGATGGACAAATTTTAAAGTTACTTTTATATGTTACTTCTACACATATTTAAACCATTTTAACTCAAAAAATATTTTGGAACTGATATTTTGTCATTTTCTAAAATGTTTTTAGTGTAATTCGTGAGGAAAAAATATAAAAAGTTTAAATTTATATTTTTGCACAGCTGCAAAGAGTTTTGCCTGTAAACAAAATAACTCATTTGTTGATTTTTTAAACTTTTCTGACCATTCCAAAATAATAACTATTTTGGCTACAAATGTATCACCTTTGAGAATATATTTTCTATTTTTTGATTTTCAAATCTTTTCTCTTACTTTCTGTACCAGCCTTGATACCTTGTTATGGTGGTTTGATAATCTACTAACAAACACAGCTTTGAAAATAGCTATAAAATAAATTTAAACATGATTGAATAGAGCAAGTATTAGACTATTATGTAATAGTAGTATTAATATATAAATGTGCAAGTTTTTTTTTATAGTTTCTGTAAATATTCTTTTAAGTTCCATTCACTTATTAATTGTGAAAGTATTTGTGTTTTAAATTATATCTGTTTGAAAGCTACAGAAATTTTCTCAAAGAAAAAACATTAGATTAGTTTAGATAAGATAAATACACAGTTTAAGAGATGGGAGAGAGTAACCAAGAAAACCTTATTAAAAGTTTAACACCGTATCAAATGTACAATGTCTGAAGAAGGTTTTGTCGTCATCAGGTACAAGTAGGTTTACCTAGACAGAGGAATATATAAAAAGTATGAAACAAAGAAATCACATGACAGGAGATAGCTTATGACTTAATAAAGATATCTAGCTGATGTTTGGCTCTTTGCTGAAATTAGTTTTTTACTTTTTAATAGCTATACTGTGATTTCGTTGAGCTGAAATGTTTGTAAACATCATCAGTTGTTGCTTTTTTTATGTTCACCAAATAAAATAAAATAGTCAGAAAATCAGATAAGTTGGTTAAGCTTACTCTTTAATGAGTATGGGAAGTGATTACAAAATATTCTGATGACTCAAATCTTTATTGAATATTATTTTCATGTTTATCCTATTTAAACAATGCACATAAAAGAAACTGGCTAACTAATTATTTAATTACTTCTAACTTCAACTGTGATATGTTTTAAATAATGTTTTATCAGTAATAGTGAATACTAAACAAAAAATGTTTTTGAAAAAATGTGCAAAACACAACCTTCATACAAGGTCTATGACACAAACCAATGGTAATTCAAAAATTACTTAAAAGAAACCAAAACCATTTCAATGAAAATCATACAATGTTAGAATAATGCAGCAGTGGAAAATGTAATGAAGGTAGCACACACCTATTTTTTTTCTGCTTGTATAGAAGGGAATGTGTGTACTAATTCATTAATCAAATGTAACAGATTAATGGGCCCATTGATTAATCAATTATCAATTACACACAAATGAACATTATATAAATAAATGGTGATTATTAGACTTACTGAAATAAGAGAAAAGGTGGAAGCCAACAAGAGGTTATGTATACGACTCACTTTGTATTATTTCACTTAACCCATGAAGTTCACTTTGAGACAATTTTTTTTAAAAAAACAGGTGACTAATTATGTCACCAATGGAATAATCTTAAATACATAGCTAACTTTACCTATAAGCTTGAAGGTTTATAAATCCTCAACAGCAACGAAGAACTCAATCATAATGATGCACAGACAGAGTGTTTCTTAACTCCTCCACAAAGTGAAGGCTATGGTAATAAAACAGAACCTTCTGATACAAAAAGCCATTGTAATGAAGTTGATATCATTTATGTTAGAAATAAACAAGGATATGAAGATGACAAAGGCTCACAAGCTTTCAACCATACATCAAAATCTATGGCTATCTGCATAAAAAATATCACTGAAAGAACTTGGATCCCAGCAATCCCATACCTCTCAAGAACCCCCAATGCAGCTCCAATGTACCTTTTTTGTGCCTTTTGTCTGCTTAAATTTGTTTTTGGATGACAATGTTCATAAACAAAGGAAAGTGTGTATGAAAATGTGTAGTTTAACTCTGGTCTCCTTATCTTTTGCCAAAATTATTAAAACAAAACTTTCAGGTAATAGTGCATAACCATGACCATCAGATTTGGTACAATGGAAGTAGTAGTTCCAAGGGTAGCACAAGAAATGGAACACCTTTCTTATGAAGTACAATAAACCTCAGTACATATGATTAAAACAAACCATTCACTTTCTACTATGTATTTCATCATATTTTGAATAAATGATTGGATACTCTATACACATGACTGAAAAAATTATATTCAGTTCAAAAGTAACATAAGTACTAAAAGAAAAACTGGTTATAGATAGTTGATTATTGACTAGAAGTTTAACTTAACTTATACTTACTGCTTACACACTTCAGCAACTAGATATTTAATTAATAAACAAATTATTAAAAACTACATGATTAAGGATCACTAACAATGTTTCACTGTCAATTATCAAAACGGTACTTTATACCATTAAATGAACTTAAAAGATTTCCTGAGCAGTAACAAAATTATGCATAGAATCTTAATATAAATACTTTCCAACTTGTTCTAGATCTTAAAGTTTTAATCATTCAACTGATTTACCTCAGTACTTTAATATAGCCTTTAGCAGCAGCTACATGGAGAGCTGTTGCTCCAGTTTTGGGATGGATCTTACTATTATAATCTTGTTTATTAACTATAAACTCCTGGGCATCCTTCATCATCAGATTTTCTTCTTCTGTCCTTGCAGCATCACAATCAATACCTATATAAAACAGTTAAAGCCAATAAGATCTACTATGATGACATATATGCTAATAAGTTCTTTACATCAGTGCTTCCCACAGTTGTGCCCCAGAAGGGTCTCATATGTACCATGGCATTTTTGCAATTATTAAGTAATATTTATTTAGTAATGTAAATTTATTATCAAGTTAATACATTTTAAAAATGTCAAATGTGATTTATTTTCTCATTGATACACAGTATAACAGTAATTTCTGTCTGTCTTAGTCAGGGGGGTGCCACTAGATCTGCCATAGGGACTTATTTACATGCGCTGCAAAAAGTTTGGGACATTAAAAGTGTGACATGAGCTGAAAAAGTTTGGGAAGCACTACTTTACATGACAGTTATATCAAACTGGTCACATCAATTCTTGAACCTGCATTTTAATTACATGCCAACACAACTATATAACAAAATACTTAAATCCCTACTATAATGACAGCATACAACTTCTCAGAAATAATATGTTGACTTAAAACAATTTTGTGAAAACCCACCATTTTAATAAAATCAGCCTCAATTATACAGCTGCTGACCGAGATAACCCATCACAAAAACATGTGGAATTCGTTAAAATGGTTCACAAGTTTTATAATTATATACAAACCTAATTTATCAATCTCTGCTTGAAGCAACTCTTCCATTTCTTCTGATTCAGCTATATCAATTGGTAATTCCCCATCATTATTAACAGCTGCTACTGATGCCCCATTTTCAAGTAGGTATCTATATTTAAAATGTCACAGTTAATAAAGAAATAGTAAAAGAAATAATCACTTCAAAATCTGGTTCTGACAAGTATTGTACCATATTTCACACTTGATACTTATGCATTGTATAGCTTTTCTTAAACTTATCATTTAATGATATCTAAATTAACACTATAACTTGTTCATAGTAACATGAGGGTAAAATATAAGATTTTTATTATTTAAAGAAGAGTACTTACTTGGCTATACTAACAAAGCCACAAGAGGCAGTGGCATGCAAAGGTGTCCATCCTTCATTATCACCACGATTAACATCACAACCATGCTCCACAAGAAACTCTACCATATTTAAATTATCATCAATGCATGCCTAAAAGAAATGTAATAAAATGTAATTAAATCCCACAACTATAGGCAAACATAAAACTTTTAAAAAATATGTGTTTCTGTTACCTCATTTACCTGTCAGATTTACATTCCACTGACTGCTTTAACAGTCCAAATATAAAGCTTTTGTAAGACTTGAATAAAAACAATTATTCTGAAAACACATCTAGAATCCCACACTTTAACAAAAAAGTACCAGCTTTAATTTTTTTCAACTCAAATTCAATTACATACAGTTGAATTAAAAAACTTTCAAGAGTAATGGAATATTTGAGGCTACAATATACTTAACATATTAACACGTTCATAATAAAAAAAGGTAACTCAGAGACACACATTTTAATTACTATGAATTATGTTTAAATTTTCATTACTTTTCATAATCAGTATCACATACATAATTCACAAAAGATGGCCATATGAGATTCATTCAGCAACAATCTTATCAGGGCATGATAAAATTCCTAAATTATTATCTGTTCACAAAATTTCAAAAAATTGTTTAAAACTTTAGAAAACAGTGTCTCTAACACCATCACACAAACAAGGCCTGTAAGCTTTTAATCACAGGTATCAAGATTGATATAAAAAATTAAATCTCAGTTGAACAAACTCAAGAAAACTTAAATACAGAGGATGAGCATATTACATTAACCCTATGATGTGTAGGAGAGGCCTCTTTAGTGGCAGCATGAGACATAAGCATGCTCAATTGCTTAGAGCCCTGAGTAGCTCAAAGTGTCTCGGATTTGGATTTGTGCAATATTTTTATTATTTACACCTGAACTTTTGTTTTTGTCAGTTTTAGTGTTACACTCATTTGAAAAAATATATTTCAATGAGTGCAATCTAAAAACACATCACTCAGTAATAGACAGAAATTTAAAAACTGCAACAGCAAGATACTTCTCAGTTAGGCACATGCACTAATTGGTTGTTAAATGCAGTACATTTACAGTGTGCAGCAATGATAGTGTATGAGTAGAAATGACTTTTTAACTAGTGTATTAGCAAGTGTTTTGTACGTATATTTTTTTCTTGAAATAATGCAATTTTAATTTTTTAAAGAACAGATGAGTGATTTCTAAAAATATTCCTGTGTAGGACCCACATGGGTTAGCAATACCCCTGGGTCTCTTGAACCCAGCCACCATTTTTTTTCTTTGCCAATTGTCTTTCTTTTGTTACATAGTTCTGGTTTGCTATTAGCCTCAATTAACTATCACTAAAAAATATCCAATATGCAAAAAAAAAATTATCTGCAGTCATTTAGGAAAATTAAACAAAATTTAAAGTAGCATAATAAAGTATGGGTCAAACCACAGTCTTGTGTACCTAAACAAACAACTGAGTGGCTTTTGTCTTCTATTTAAGTTTAATGAATGTACTATCTTTATAACCAATAACTTATTTTTATCTCTACTTTCTCATGTAATACTACCCTCATTAAGACTTCTACTGTGCATTTATGTATATTTCATTACGAATGCATCCTGAGGTTAAAACTATTTTGGAGCCTTATCATGTCATTATAGTCCATGTTGCCACTTCAAGTCATGCTATAACTGATCTTTGTTCATCCAATAGCACTGCAACATAGTTTCTATTACAAAAGGTTCACCCCTTCCCCCTGCAAGATTTCCATAATCCATCTAGTGTATGAGGACAATAACTTCCAAATAACCATTACAACAGACCAATCACACAGAAATTTATAGGCATTTCATCTAGAAACTTGACCAGTGTATCTTCATATGGGAAATAATGAATACCCATTTCATTCTCCAGCTGCTCGAGGTATATGATGATTGAACAGATATGTTGTGGAAGCAACTTGTGTCACTTTTTTGGACACAGATCCTTCTTCATTATTTTGCATACTGTTACTTGGCACATGTTGACAGCTTTTGCCACTGATTTTTTGTGTTCATGTTTTTTCACCTGTTACAAGAAGCTGCACTTTCCTCATTACAGCTGGGATACAACTTATTGCAACTTTTTATTTTTGATGGTCCAAGTGCCCCAAGTTGATCTATATTCCTTTGTTTTCCAATGCTATAAAGTACAAAGAATATCCTCACTTGGAAAATCTAAATCCAGAACCTGAGCACATCTTTATGATCTAGTATGTAGGAACATCTTGGAATGGAAAGGGCTGTCAAGTACCATCCACAACAGTGATCAATTTTCAGTGGCATCACCCTACCTACGAAATACCAAACAATGTCAAAATGTAGTCCTGATACAATCCGTTCCATCAGGACTTTATACTGGCTGTGGTTGTTACATTAATTCTCGATTTGCATATTCAAAATCATTTTAATATAACATACTCAACCCTCTGCTTGTTTCATTTTTAGAAGCTTATATGCTGACAGATTTTAGTAATGTGAGTTTGGTGAATTTCTTATTATCCTTGGTAATAATATTAAAGATGTATTCATGTAGATTCTTTAATGTTTCTTGTTCCAAATTTGTCCCCAAAATATTACTGGATAGTACAGGTCTTGTACTTTTTGAACACTGTTTTTTAACCCACAGATAATTACAGTAATTGCAAAATGTACATGCCTATATTGTGAAACCAATTAGATTATATAAGCAATACACATACAAACACCTTTAACATGTCATTACATTACTAATAATCTGTATAGAGCAGTGGTTCTCAAATTGTTTCATCTGCAGACCGCTTCAGCAGGGCAAAAGACTCCTTATGACTAAACAATTGTAAATAATGCATCATAGAAGTTGAAGAAATAACTACATATTATTCATAATAGAGCAAATATGATCATGATGTCAGAAAAACACATAGATTCAAAAAGTCTTAATATAAAATGATGAAAACCTTATAAACCGAATACTTTCAAAAGGTAGACCTTTCTTCTTCAGGGGCAAATTCAGGGTACTCAATTCTCCTACCTATTTTTTGAACTGCAGAAATCATACATAATTTGGAATTAATGGTGGCTTTGTGAAAAGTGAAAAAAAAAGCCCCTGAATTTATTGGGGTGGGGGGTGACAAAATTCAAATGGGTTCTGAAGCTTTAGTCATCTATAAGCTTTGAACAAGAACAGTTTATTTCTGTTATTAACTTTAGTATATGTATATTTTCAGAAGTTTTCTGGTAAATATATTATATTTCTTTACTGTCTTAGTTAATTTCAGATTTTTTTTTACTTTTTGTAGAGTCATGACCAATGTCATGATAGGGTGAGAGTTCTTTATTTGTGCTTTTTTTTGGAAAATTACAGCAATACTTTAACCTGTTTTTTGCAAATTGTCTTACTTAATCACGTTTCATTCATTTTGTATTTCTTAGTAACTTCCTTGTTAATTTTGTACAATTCCAATAACTTCCACAGTTTTTGTGGAAATATATTTAATGCTTTTAATTCTAACATTCATTAATAGATTCCATCTTATAATAATCCTTCACTTAGTCAAACAAACACAAGTCCTCATTTTGATTTGTTAAACCCCTACTTCAGAGTGAACAGATACAGTGTCTGTTTAGATATGCCTTGAGCTCTGACAGAAAAGTGTTAACTATTTAATGCTTCTAATTTTAAAAGATACTAGTTATACATAATATATAAAAACATTCAAGGCAAAAAAAATTGGTTGACAAATTTCATTTGTTCTTTTTCTATGATTTATATTTATATCAGATTACAATTCCATCTTTCAAGATTTAAGTGAGGTATTTAATACTCTTTATATTTATTTCACAGTTTTGTTGAAAATCCCTATAATTCTATTTATCAAAGAAATGATTAAACTCAGAAAAACTGTCTCACTCTTTTGAAATCCAAATACTAAGACCATTTTTCAAAGACTGATTTAAATGATACATTTAATGTTTCCTTTCATAAACTTTCTAAAAATGGCTAAACATTTATTATAATAATACCATTATTTCAAAGGAAGTTAACCTTTAACTGAGACATTTAAAATGTTCTTTTATTCTAAGCTCTACCCACAATTTGGAAATGGAGTTAATGGAGTTAGAAAGTAATATTATATTGGGATATTTCAAGGAGTTAATGGAGTTAGAAAGTAATATTATATTGGGATATTTCAAGGTGAATTGCCACATGTATATAATCAGCAAGCATATTAAGTAAAACTCACTAAACTTAAAAATAAATGAATTCAAATTCGATGACGAGGAACCCACTTTCAGATTAATAATGGTTGGAGACGGCTTGAATGGGTAATGAAGAAAAAAATTAATATAAGTTTAACATAACAGCAAATGTACAACGTTTCGACAAGGTTTTGTCAGTGCCGCTTTGTAAAGCTAATTCCTAAATTTGTGAAGGTCAAGTTATCGAAAAACTTAAACCAGTTTTCAGGTATTATCCAAAACATGCAGAAAAAACTCCTAAAAGCTGAATTCCAAATATCAAGAACTGGATTACTTACAAAAACTCAAACAGAAATTAGACCACCAACTAGCCTACTACCTCAAACCAGATGATTACGGCAATATACAACGCGCTATCAACCAAAACAACTCATTGCTGAATCAAGAAAAGAAGTCTACACGCAATAAGAAACTAGATCAACTAAGGAAACTACAACAACCTGAAGTAAAACACAACAATGCAGCTCAGCCT